GTTTGTGACTTTTATATTTTAAACGATCCGACCAGCCTCGGTCTTAAAATTTCCTTCGTGGTTGCCTCAAGCTTCTCCTTTACTGTTCCTTCTATTTTGTTCTACTCCCTTACGCTCGCTTTTAATGGTTACGGGCCGTTAGCATTTTCCCAGACTCGACGCGAGTCGCTAACATTTCCAAAAAGGATCTGGTTTCCGTCCGACAGTCTTATATCCTTACTTTACTATCGCCCTTAAAACTTTGAACAGTGTGAAGCTACTTTAGAACAAAGGAATTGTGTGAGATATTATACAGCGTTTTAAAGCTGTTGCGAAAAAAATTACCCTCGAGTGGATGAACGAGAAAGTATAATTCGATTAATTTTACTTTTTGGACCAACGATGCGTCGTGCATTTATATTTAAAGACAGAATTCTGTACAACTTCGTGTTTTGGAAACGCACAATGGCTTTTGTGCTCGACTCGCGTCCGGGTCGATTAATTGCAAAGAATACTTGAGTTTTAATCCAGGTAATTTAAGTTCTGGAGTATATGTTTTAAACTGGACCGGGGATGTAAGAAGTTAGAAAAACGATTAATTCGAAGGCTCGTCCGGCGGTTGCTAACTAAACAAAATGGAACAGAAGTTGGCTGATCCTATTAATTAATCTCACGCTCGATAGCGTTTACCGCTGTAGGTCGTGGTAAAACTCGCTAAGAGCGAGGAGGACCGCAGAGAAATGCCTCGATATATCAGCGTTAAGCCGCACTGTCAGACACACTCAGATATTATCCTGTATGGAGCTGATGGATACGAAGAGACTCCTCTCTGTCAGCCACTCGATACACCCATTCCTGAGCTCTCCTGAGAACTTATAGATGAACCTATATCTTCGCTTGTTCTACTTTCGGGATTCCGCAAAATAGATACTACAAGACGATTATCAAGGACAGTTCAGAGAATGTCAGGAAGGAGTTTTAAGAATTGTGACCACGTCTACTACGCCATAATAAAACTGAGGTCTTCTAGAAAATTACCTTTAAAAAATATGTCCTCTGATATGGTATAACTTTATTCCAAGAAGTTTTTTTTTCATAGGACCATAAATAGTATAGATATTTAGGTGATCCTACTTGCGTGGTGCATTCTGTATCCCAGTTCGATGTAGTAAAAATAAAATCAGGTTCCAAATTGATGTACACCGATATTGGAAAGCCATTAATGCTTAAAACGAACCAAACGGTAACAGGTCGGCGTAAGACGAGCGGAACAGTGACATCTGGAACGCGATAGAAATTAGCGAAGCATTGGCGAATAATGCTGTAAGATTACGAAAAAGTTTCAGTCCTCTTTTCTCTCCTCTCGAAGTGTAGAGTGCATTTAAAAGCCTTTAACTCTAGAGTATCTAAATTTGATATCTCTTGATAGGTTTTTCGGTTACCTATATTTTTTTACAAATTTGGTTTCGTTCCTCGAAACAATTGTTGTATTTACACCAGCAGTTTTCCGAACTTGGAAAACGCTGCATATTGATCCGCAGTCATGACGGTTGTGAAATCTAATTTGAATGCATGCAGTGATTTAAATGCACCTTTATGGACCTCCCAACTCGCGAAACGCGATGAAAATAAATAAACGTGACACAATCTCGACAACTTGTTTGATCATTCCTTGGAATTGGCTACTTTAAATCCTGTAAGATTATTCATTATCCTTTTTCACAAAATAATCATGCAATAACGTTTGTAACGATTATAAACGATTAAAAATTAGAAGGACGTTGATAACTTGTTACGACTGCCATCAATCCCCACTTTGGCCATTAGCTGTCGAAATTACAGTATAACCATTCAGTGACCTAAATTAAAGATAACTCTGGAAAGAGAACATATTTCGATCAATAATTTAACAAGTTAAAATAGATTCATCCGCAATGATTTTCGACTAATGTATTTGGTTTCATTTTATAATCAATTTTATTATGAATGTCGGTCGAGTTAAAACTTAGAACAACATTTGTAGGATATTCGACAGGTTATCGAAGCAAATGGCGAAATAGCAAACACTTGCAATCGGACCATAACGTTAGCCTTTTGGATCGCTGGTGTTTACATGACCCATGATGGACATATGGCCGATTCGATGGTCGAATGTGAGTATATACGGTGCGCGTGTTAGTGTTTTGACAAACAGGCCAATCGAACCGATTGCCCCTACCTTAACAGATATAAATTATTGCACCCAGAGATGGGCGAAATACGTATCTCTTATCTACATACAAATTTCGAATAACAAATATCGGATGAACTTCGAACTCATTATTATTATCATCTTTATTCAATGAAAATTGCAATCGAAATTGGAATTGAAATTACATTTCACGTTGATCGCGTGCATCGCGTTGAATAAATTATTATATCTTGTTTTTATTCCCATATCTTTCGAACTTTTCTGAGAATCTAAGAGAAATTGAGAAATAATAATTTTGTTTGATTTATTATTAAATATGCTTGCTTTGAATTAGTCAGAATTAATTTACTTTGAAATTTATTTTTGTTTTACGTGTCGAATCCACCCAATTAATATTATACAGTGTTTTAGGACGTACAACCGGGTAAGAGGTAATTATACATGCAAAAATAAATTGGAAATGTAAAATAAAATTTATGCTCATAATGTTTCGTTTTCGAGGTAATTGAATTTGAAAATTTGTCAGACGCGCCGTGCAATTAAATACAATTTTTTTGTCGCGTCTGACCAGTTAGTTAGCACTTCTACTTGAAGTGCGTTTCTGACCAGTTATTTAGTACCTCTACTTGTACTGTGTGTCCGATCAGTTATTTAGCGGTTCTACTTGCACTGAGCGTCTGACCAGTTGCTTAGTATTTCTACTTATACTAATAACCAAGTCAGTATTCTTGGATTAAAGTATTGTTTAACGGTTTAGTTATATTTTAATATAATTAATAACTATTTCAGTATGTTTTATTATACGCTATTGCCTCTGGCATAAAATAAGTTAACATATTTTCCAGTTTTAACTGAATATTCCACGTACCTCGTTTTTCGATATAAACGTAGTTGATCGATCGCTTCTCGTTAACGTTATTAACATTATTCACGAGTACCATAAAATTTCGAGTATACTACGCTCAATTTTTACTCATTTTAGCCCGCTAAAAAGGGAACGCGTATCATGCTTGTGCAGAAATTATACATCATTTTCAATATTCAAGCTTTCCTAAAGCTGTGCATCTATAATTCAACGAGGCTTCTTCGAATATTGTATTTTTAATAATCTTGGCGCAATAGGACGAACAGGTATCATCCAACAAAAATGACAATAGAATAAACTAAACAACACTTGACAGTTTTAATTATGTTAACATTTTACGCAATTTAGAAGAAAATCTGTAAATGTTACGGATATGTATCGTACATTATATTCAAGATTCCGCGATAGTTGTTTCCTGTTCACGATTTTACCGGGCGTTTCCAGCTCGAAAGGGACGATGGCGTCGAACGAGATCGGGGGAAAAAAAGGACAGACCCTTTAATCTTCGTGCTCTTTCGGCGATAATCTTTCTCTGCCATAGTAATTGCCTAACCCATGGAGGTAATAAAGTTATCTCGTGGTCGTCATCGATCAGGCCTTTAAATCGATCGAATTACCGATCCCTTGTTGGCATTCCGCGGTTCATGGAGTTAACGTTGTTGCCGCGAGGTGTAATTCTCTTCCGTTCAATTGGGCAGAGTAGTTCGCGTATACCTATAAAGTGAATCTCCGACTATTGATGGAACAGCCTCCGCGTATTTTCCTCTCTTTTCTTCATCTTGTTCCCGTCTCGTTCCATATCACATCGGCCAACTCTGTTCCTAGTTTCCACCGACATTCGCTTTGTCACTGTACTGTCTTTGCAGTTTTACCTTTAACCCTGCTCCACTGCCACTCTCGACGTCGACCTCGGTTCCCTCTTCTTCTGCCGAGCATCTCTCACCCTCCAGCCCCTCTCGTGTACTTTTTTCCACGAGATCTCGCAACGAGGCGAGTCACTCGAAGGAAACTTATCTCACCTTCGCTGAGCGTTAGACCTTGAAGAACATATAGCAGAACGACGACCAGCTACTTCGGCCCAGAATCGACTTGGAGGTTCTTTTTAAAGAGGTTCGATAACGATTCGCCTAAAATTCAGTACTCTGCAATGTGTCGTACGTCAAATTGAGACAAGTTATTCTCTAACAAAACAGAGAAAGTCACGTCTTCGGCAAAAGACTGCTTCCAAGATTTAGTTCATACACCTGTTCTGATATGTGTTCGTACACCAGCAGTAACTATTAATTAGCGATTGTCGATAGTTAATTGTAACGAAATCGTTCGATATGTGTGAGAACAACAAAGGCAAACGGTCGATTACGGTTGTTAATTACTCGCGAGCTAAGCTTCCATTATTTATCGGTGGATGACTTGGTCTGGAGGATCGTCGAGGTTACTTTTAACGCATAACGTCAGCTGAGAACGCAACAAAAGTTAACAACGCTCCGATGAATATATTTTAATTCCATTGTAGAGGTAATTTCGCTTTTACACAGTTCAGGCACGCGTGAATCATTATAACCTACAGGGAATAAACAACGAAGTAATTTGTTGTATACGAAGATGAGAAAGTCAGATTTTTTATTTAACTTTTATACTTACTTAAAACGCTAGTTAATTGTTCGGAACAGGAATCTTCAGACAATAGAATATTTACGTTTCAAGTTCTCTGCATTCACGTATTACGTCGAACCGAATACATTTCCAAATAAGAGAGTTGCACGTTGCATCGACAAAGCGCTGTGTAGAATATAAAATAAAGACTGTCGTCAAAAGAATTCCTGTAAGACCATTTGCTTCGGGCCGTTTCACACGGACATGTTTCGGCGGTGCCGATTGGACCCTCGGTTTCCCGCTCGACGTATTCGCGTTGCAGGACAATATACCGATAAGTTGTCGTTGTTAACGAAAAGTATCTCGTTGCAGTTGTCTGAACAGGGCGGATTTAATCAGAGTGCACGATGGAACGGATACGGGGGCTCCCGCAATAGCTGTACTCTGCAACCATGGAACGGAAGTGGAAGTACTCAGCACGGGGCCAGACCTTTACGTCGAGTTCGTCGCCAATTCTGAGTGGCCGGGCCAGGGATTCAAGGCGATGTTCCAATTCCAGCCAGTGGACGATGCACCACATCCTGGTGAGTCGCGCAATTACATTATTTGCAACATTATAAAAATCCATGGGTACCCACGGCTATTTTACTTCGCCTCGTCTCGTCTCAATTTCAATTTGATTCTCAACAACGTCCTAGTTATTTTCTATTTACGAGCAAACATGGGGAGCAAATCCAACGCGTTTGCTCTGCTGTACCGAGAAATTTCGTCCATCCCAACAGTGGTAACGAAACTTACACCCTTGCGAAGGAAAGTGTGTGTACTTGGTAGAACAAAAACGAGAGGGAATATTTGGATACTTGTGTGTACACTAATTACATGGCGTTGCTGTTGATAGGACAGGGGTAGAGTCGCTATAGTCATCGATTAACCTGTTTTTCTGGTTGTTATTACTTGTAAGAAACTAGGGACATTTACATTTAGTCACTTTACCAAAGAAGCCACCTATCGGCGTGTCTTCCAACGTTCCAGAACGTAAAAGCCATCAGCAAGAGTACTGCTTGACATAACTACTTCGAACTAACTTCCACCATGTTTTGTACCGTTTGAAAAATTCCTCCTTCGTTACTTGACTTTTTGTTTTAATAATATGATGGCATTATTTCCGCGAAGACCTCGTGTTACCGTCACAGGATATGCCCACGTCGGTATCGTCCATTTTTCTTGCCTCAATTTCCGCCAGTTGTATCGGTGGTCGAGTCGCGTTGCTCAATTTCCGCGATCTTGTTTAACCCCAGAGTCTTAACTATAAACGTCCTCTTCGTTCTTCGATTTCATCAGCCTTCGATCGAATTCGTAATATATACAGAGGGAAGTTGGAAAAATAGGGCTGCCCGCGTTCCAAGCGTGGATTGTACTTGCCAGTCGGAAATTAGAACTGATTGGTTACAGTAATCACCTTAATGCACGAACGGATCGCCCTGACCCAGCTAATAACGAAAATGAAAAATTCTTCCAAAGGATGCCGCGATCATATTTAATTTGAAAATGTACCCGGTGACGGGAGATCCCAGATCAACGTTACAATGTTGTAGTGAATTTTTCTTCTAATTCTAGAAATGCTTAAAATTCCGTTACCTATACACGTTTACACGCGACATTAATTCAGTGAATAGTTTCTCGACCGACCGCCATCCGTGAGAAGGGGACGCAAAAAGCACTTTTCAATTTTTAAGTCGGTATGACAGTCAGAAAGCTCCGTGATCGAGCTTTCTTTCATCGATTTCTCTCGTCGGTACTGCAGGTGAACGCGGAAAGCGTTTCGCGTGCTTAACGTTGAGCGTTGTCGTCGAGAGTCTACCCGAAAGCGCTTCCAGGCTGAGCTTGCGAGAAGCTTTCGTCCGTTGTAACGATTCCATCGGTAAAACAGTGTCTAAAGCTGCCTCGCGTACCCGTCGATTTTTCCGTTTATCCACCCGTCAGTTATCTTCGCGGGTAATTCCTTTAAAATTGGATCGAATCGAGTTATACCAACGAGGCTTTTAGGTCTCGGGGCGCCTCCGAACGCGTTACCGATAAAACGTCGTCGATTTGCATAAGTTCGTTATTATGCGGAAGATAACATTGGTATCCCTTGTTAGTTTGACCTCTTTGGGCGTTACTGGCATGCTAATCGCAGCCAATGCGATTAACGGTCTCTCGAAATCGTAGGTATTTTCGCGCGTCCGACCGAGAAAAATAATGTCCCTTTTTTATTGACGATCCATCTCAAACTATTAGGGTTTCTCGCTGCTCGTGGACGAAATGGGCACGAAATAAGTGGCGTTTAAGCATCCCCGGCAATTTATGAGACGATAAATCATGGATAGGGATCCTTTGCTAGGGTAAATTGGCCGTGTCCCATTCGCACACGCGACTCCCAATTGTAATTAACGGCACTGTATATTCCGAGGATAATTACAATAATGTATTTCAGAGCTGGACAAGGTCATCCCTGGGGCCGTTACCGGCAACCCCAAGTACTCGGTCATCGGACCAGCTGTCAGCGCTACCAGTAAGTATATCAGTTTACGTCGTCGATTTATTATCCCACTCAATCAATAATTTCTCCTCCCCGATTACCGTTCTCGGGCTGGCATTCACTTCGTAAGTGACTCCGCTTCGTGGATAATCCAATGGATTGACTCCCGGGGACGGAAAAGACAAACGTTTAAGTAAGAAAAAGCGGACGATAGCAATTTATTAGTCGCTGTTTCAGGGCCCGAGGGCGGGATCAATTGTTTTCGATTCCCTCGAAACGGTGTCTGTAATCACGCACTTAAACCATACTTTATTTATTCGAAAAGGAACAAGAACAAATATTCCTACAAAATTTTATAAGCTATCGATATAATTTCATAGTTTACCGCGACCATATTTGATCCCTTTGTTTAAGTTTACATAGTCGATTGACTATATTAATTACTTTTAATTACTTTCGTCCAGGCACGGTATAAGTCAACAATAAAATGATAAATATTCGTATATTAGCAATTATATAAACTCCCCCGAAATTGTTTACGGTACGTAAACGAAGATTTTTAATTTCTCATCGCGCCCGTTTTTAATTGCTTAATTCCAGCGAATAATTGACTAGGCTGCTGGGAACATATTGGCTCATTCATACGCATCGCGTTTAACGATTATTTTTTGTCAGAATCAGGGTAAATACTCTATAAATTTCCAATATATTGGTTTGATGGAAATTCACGCAGACGTAGAGAACAAATTTTATACGATGTTCAAATGTGAATTTATGTACATATACGCGTGGGTGTGACAAAAATTCAATTTTATCGCGATGAGTGATGCCTTGAATTACACAGAAATGAAAGTACGACCCAATCATAGCGATACCAATAATTTCTTGATTCTTTGAACGATTTTTTGCAGTGCCATTTCAATAAAATTTGTTTATTTCGCGTCGTAGCAGCGTACGCGTCGAAATATCCACGAAATACGATAACTGTTGTAAGATTTTACTTCGTGCAACAGTTTTATAGGGCAGGAGCAGAACGAACGTAGTAAAACCGAATGTACTGTTTCTCCGTTGTTATTTAAACAGATTATTTGGACGTTTCGTGCATGATACACGACAACGATATGATGTCTCCCGGAGTTCTTCCTATATAACTCCACCGCCGAGTTGCATAAACTTTGCAAGCGGTGTGTACTGTCGGAGTCATCAACCCGCGTGTAACGTGCTCCCCGAAAGCTCGTAGGAGAACGAACTTTATATCTTTTTCATGAAAATAAGTTCCCCGGGTTATGAGCAGAAGCACTAAACTAAATTATTAGGTTGACAAGCGCAAGGTGATCCGACCATTGTATACGAGTTTCCAAAGTCTCCAACTTCAACGTACGTATCGATATTTACACGTAATATCTCACGGTCCGCAACGCCGTGCGTCAAATGGCGGCTTCTTCCTTTCCCAACGAACGAGGCTACCGAAAAATATGGGTTTTCGACTTTTAACAGCCCTTCGAAATTTACGTCCCTTATTCGAGTTTCTTCGAATCTTCGGAACTATCGTTAAAACGTAAAAAGTAAACAAAGTGCAGGAAAGTTGCATCACCGAATTTCGTACTCGATTTCGGTATCTGGATTAATTGCGACCAGAGATTTTCAGCAACGTTGCACGTATTCGAAACTGAAAACCTCCTTTTTTAATATTTTGCAACGAGATGGTAGAATTAATGGGGGCGTAGAAAGTTTAAAATGAGTCGGAATTCGAGCTCGTATTTCGTGCTGGATGTATTTTTTCACGAATTCACGATAGATCCGGATCAAGGAATTCTGTACGAGTAGAATCGTGCTGTTAACTTTTTAAAAATAAATACTATTCGGTATGTTCGTCTTTCCAAGATACAAGAAACTTCGCAAAATTCGTTGGTGTTTCTTTAATAAAGCTTCAAAGGTGTATAACAATTTTTCCGTGCTCCCCAAAAAACGTTTCAGAGCGTCGAGAAAAATTTCGAGCATTTACCATCGTCCAGGATTCAATTTGTTTCTGAAATTACAGGCTAAGCGATGTCAATCACTGCTTCTTGTTCGGGGAAATTCAGCGGCAATACAAAGACTGGAAATTTGAAACGACGTCAAAGTGGTGTACGCCATCGCGCGATTAATATTCTCTGTTTTTAGGTCGGCCTTTGTGCAGGGAAATTTTTCTGCCGAACATCGAGAAAATTCATCGGCCCCCGCACACTTTATATGTATATCCGCCCTTGTGCAGGTGCTCGGATAATTTAGAGCACTTACCCAGGAGTGTAGAGCATACGAAAGTAGGTTTGGTGTATAAGAGCATGCAGATACATCGCGTACCTTGTTTTACGGTTAAACCTAAGTATCGTGAAGAGGGTTACAAGGGGGCAAGGACGAGGGTTGCGCTTTCCAACGCGGTAAGTTCTCCCAGTCGAGTCCCGAGCACACTCAGGATTCCGTAGCGTTGATAGAGGTTACAATTGCACGTTCGCGAGGCTTCGTTGACGTTGGTGTTACACTTCCCTTGTGTTAGGGGATAGATTTACATGAGTAAACAGTACCGCCCGGGGATCAGGTACAAATTGAGATTAAAGTTCAACCGGATGCAGGAATTATTTTCCTCCTGGATTGATTCCCATAAGTTAGTCCGCCAAGGATCTCTATCCCAGTGTTTAAATCGATCGATCGTGGTTAATCCTTTTCTCGTGTATGTACTTACAGGAGAGCGTAGTTATTTCAGGCGCTTAGAAATGTACAAATATTTATTTTTAACACTTTAGAAGGGACTGAGTAAATACGACCGTTAAAGCTCGTTTCACTAATGGAACAAGTCTCTAAGAGTACAATAGCATGAAATGAATGGAATAACATTGAATAGAAAGAATTTTGTGGCCACCTAAAAATGGACAAAATTTAAAATTAATGAAAGAAATATTTGTACACATAGGGTAGATGATAGCTATCGAAACGTTTTTTATTGACACTCTTTTGATCATCTTCAGAATTTTTTTTGTGTTCGATTGCTGCAATATTTGTATTCGTGTTGAACTTAAATTCTAATTAAAACTTGAGAACCTTGCTAGAAAGGGTATGCAATTGACGATAAAATTGCACTGATCTTTATACGGGTCTAACGGTTCGACGAGACCGTGGGTCGAGTTTCCCGAATTACGGCAACGATCCATGACCTAACTGGACATTTCCTGCTGCAAGGCAGATGGGAACGGTGCAATATTCAGGAAACCGCTCTATCTATTATATCATTGTACAAATCTCACCGTTTGTCATATCCTCTCGCTTAAACGCTGCTTGAACCGACAAGTTAATTTGATGGGAGAAATGAAATTCCTGTTACGAGTTTGGGAAGGAAAAACACGTTTCGCTGCAACTTGAAACAAATTAAATCTTAGATTAGAGAGTCCTGTGTAACTTTGGACAGGTTTCTGTCAGAAGATTCTTAGAATATCGAGCTCCTTGGTACATTCCAGATTTATACAGTGATCCTTCCACTTTAAAAATCCTCTCGTCCCTCTTTAAATAACTTTAAACACTCGTCGAGCCGTTTCAATACGTCCCTTCCTTCTCCATTGAATTGTTTTATCACTCCAATTACTACATTTCCAATATTTAAATGCACCATTTGCATCGTTAATGAGAAATGATTGTACGCAACAACGATATCGATTGCTGTCCCCCCTTTCGTTTCAACTTTCATCAAATAATTCGTTTCTAAAAAAAGAAAAATATTCCATTAGATCCAACGAATATCGTCAAACTCTTTAGGGGGGGATACGTTTTCTCGTCGGAAGGGAGAACTGTCACCTGTCAGGCTCCGGTTTGACTCGCGTTCTTTCGCCCTTTTGACAGTGTCGATATAGTAATTACCAGCGAAATTAATTGCGCCGATAAATAGATTGGGAAACTTGTTCCATCGCGGCCAGAATGGACAAGTTTTCCAATTTTCCCACGGCCGGGCTGTAAAAGCGCGCCGAACCGCGACGCAATATCGTGTACATCTAGGATCAGTTTACGGTTCCTCGTATACAACTGTTTTGCACTGGCGCGGGACTGAAACGAATAAGCAATAAATAACTGAGGACGGCGACCGCGCGGACACCGGTAATGCTCTGCTAAACGTATATACGCGTTACGACGCCGGTGAAATAACGTTTTCGCGCTGATAATCCGGAACAGGAGATGGTAAATTCTGATGACGTTCACCGGTGGACCTATCGTGCGCATCGGACGGGAAGGAAAGACGAGCCGAGAGAAAAACGAAATAAGACCGGACAAATGATGGATCGAAATTCTGCAATTTTCTCCCTCGGCTGCCGGAACTACTGCATACGCTGTCCTCGTAGGACGCTAACTTTCTCAACGACGTAATTTTGTTCCCGGGGTTATTCTACGCCCCCGCTCTTTCCAATGGAAAAACTCCGCCGTCGTCGAGGTTGATAAAAAAAAAAGAAAAGAAAAATTTGTCTATCGGATAAACCGTTTCATAAAAGTTTGCCTTAAAATGAAAGCAATCAGCGTGCGTCTCTGGGCGCGACAACTCGCCCGGTTTAACGTTGTTATTACCTTCGACTTAGGCTGCTTTTCTATCGGTATAAAATCAATGACTCGTGAACTCTCGCGGACTACTGTAACCGAGGTTTCGAAAGGCTCGAAATAAGGAATACTTTTCTTAGTGAAATTCTTTTCCAAGTTGAAGCTTTCGTGCCCGTTTTTTTTCTCTCACGATCATTGTTTGAACGGGCCGTATTATCGCGCATGAATTTGACATTGGCGGCCGGAAGACGGCGAATGTAGGCCACGGAGAAGTCGTCCAAAAATTTCTGATATTTTCGAGAGCCCGTTCGAGCGTCGATAAAAACCAGCGACGTCTTGCCGGATGCGGAAAATCGAACCGAATCATTTATTTACGCCTACGTGAACGTTAAGTTACAAACGATATTGGGAAACGTTCTAAATTTTTTGAAAATCGAGGAATTTTTTACGAACTTTATGATTAAAAAATTGTAGACGCATAAATTGAATGGGTGGTTCAGATGCAAAAGGGGTGTTTTTTCGCGTTCGAAATCGAAAAGTTGCAGGAACGTAGCAAAGTTTTTAGATCGGAGCAACGGAACATTGCTGCAAATTTTTTTAAAAATTCACGAGCGACGCCTCGCAGTGTTCGGTAGCTAATGTACCGAAAAAATGGATATCCTCCGCGATAATGGATTAAAAGCAGCAGTTACCGCTTTCAAAATCAATTCTATTCTCGTCGCATTTACGAGGAGACGATCAAAATTGTCAGATTTCTATTTTGGACGATGGAAGAATATTTAAGTGACGCGTTCGATAGCGAATCGTTTTGAACGAATTCCAGCGTATTTCGAAATAATTTATTTGAGGAACGCAGAACGTCCGTACGGACGTTTATTACGCCGGGGAACTAATATTAGGGATTTCTGAGAAACTTGGACG